CCTGATGTTTTCAGAAGTCCTGGTACTAGCTCAGAAAGTCAGTCAGCTCTGCTTGTTTGTCCCCCTTTATATTCTTGACCACTTACAAGCTGCGACATGGGAGGGTGGGGTGTATTTCCCTGGGCCAATAACAGGCTGAGTTATGTGGGTAGTCAGGCGGAGAATACTGTCACCTACTGTTTCAGTAAATCTTCACATTTGCTGATGCAGTAGTAGCCTCTGACCAATGCTTAACGCTATGTTGTGGCTGCTAGGGTAAGAACAAGACTGACTTCTCTATATATCATGTAGTCATCTGTCAGTGCAGTCATAAAAAGGTATTTTTATAAAGGAATGTGGTACAGTAAAGTGATTTATGTCTTTACTTTTTCATGGTGATATATCAAATGCGTGTTGCAGTGCCAGTCATGATCCACGCGGTAGTGGCGATTGTTGTTTTCCTTATCTAGAAAAAGGTGTTGAAATGTACAGATTGTGAACCAGATTTAGTCTTTCTTTCTGTCTGTATTTCTCTCTCGTTCCTCTTTTTTCTTCCACAGTCTTTGATAGAGGCTCATGACAAAGTGGCTGCAAAGTGCTATGAAATGCCCCACGCTGCGGCGAACAGCGATGCCTCATTGACGAGTTCACTCATGCCAGCTGATGCTGTCAGGATGATTGGCATCCAGAAGAAAGCTGGGGAACCACTGGTAAGTTAGCCAGGCATTTATATCCACCACAGCTCTGCAGGGGAAACATGTAACATTCCTGTTAGGCTGTAAAGTGTTTTACAAATGTCCTCTTTTATTGACCATCTGCTACAGGGTGACTCAGTTTTATATAGCAACTCAACACGAGTTGCTTCTTTCACAGCAACCACACAGACCGACCCATGAAACAGAAGTACGGATGTACAATACTAAATGACTCGTGCTCTCTTTCAGGGGGTGACGTTCCGTGTGGAGCGGGGGGAGATGGTGATAGCGCGGATCTTGCACGGAAGCTCAATTGACAGGCAGGGCATGCTGCACACAGGGGATATAATCCGTGAGGTCAATGGTCGTGAGGTCGGTCGCAACCCCCTTGAACTCCAGGAGCAGTTGAGGGACTGCAGCGGGAGCATCACACTCAAGGTCCTGCCCAGCTACAGAGACACACCGGCGTCTCCACAGGTGAGGAAAGGGAGGCTGCATCGTATTTTCCTGTCAAGCTTTGCACCTGTGGGAAACTTGTGTTACACTGAAAAATCTGTTATATTGAGTATATATTTAATCTTGTTTGAAATATTGAAGTCAGTGCTGATGTGTAGATCCAGTTTGCCACGTGTACAAGGCTGTTAGGAGTCGTACTGTACCTGTCAGGGATTGGGTGAGAGCTGCCTGACCTGGATGATCTCAGAATACCAGGCTTCTGAAAATTGAGCCCACGGAGGGTCTATTAATAACACTTAACACACTATCTGGGGCGTACACCACTCTGTTCAGTGGAGCACCCCCTCTTCTTACTGTAAGTGGCGCACACAGCAGCTGACACTGAGGAGCAGTATGTAGGGTTATGTCAGACACTGACCTTTGTGCCGGAAAGGATCGAATGTTTGCTTATGGTTTCAGTTTTGGGAAGAGTTTTATCTTGTGAATTAGAAAAATGAAAAAGCACTGATGGACCTCTGATGAATCTGTCAACAACTGCATTTTCATCATGTCACTGATTTTGGTTAAAAACTTTTGTAACTCCTCACACTGGTCTCCTTTTTAAAGTTGTGGTCAATGTTCATCCACCTTGTTCAGACTACTTTCTTTGAGTATGGACAGTAGTTCTAGTTGCAGTCAAATAACACTTGTGAAAGGGAACATGATAGCTTGAAATATAACTGCCTAATTGGATATGATTTGTATAGGGAAGAATAAAGTGGACATGCACTCATTATAGTTATGTAACGTTATTTTTTATATTCTAAGAGCTGTCAAACAGTATAAGTTTGTTCTACAGCCATGGCACCGGTCATACACAAATTTATGAAATACTCATCAACTATTGGACAGTATATTGTAATAAGGATTTAAGGTATTGCTCAACCCTGTTGCATATGCTGTCTGTATAATTAATTGTCTGATATCTTGTTCACACCCTAAATTGTAGGTTTATCTGAAGCCACACTTTAACTATAATCCGGCCACAGACAACTTGATCCCCTGTAAAGAGGCAGGCCTGGCCTTTTCCAAGGGAGAAATCCTTCACGTTGTCAACAAGGAGGACCCCAACTGGTGGCAGGTAAGTAAACACATTTTGCCCAGCGGCAATGGAAGACAGTGCTGCTTTAACCAGAGCTGCAGAGCTCATTAGAAGTGGGGTAGAAAAATTTAAATTCCAATTGGACAAAACAGCAGTTTCATTTTTGTGGGTTGTTGTTTTGTCATTAAACTATAGTGCGAGAAAATGCTCTACATAGTGGTTTGTCTAACTGTACTAACTTGGCAACGAGGAAGACGTTTGTGACAGTACTCCTTTTCTCTGAGAAATACTTACATCTCTCAGCATCTCTGATTTCCATATAGGCATGCAAAATTGTTGGTGGAGCCGCTGGTCTCATCCCCAGTCAGTTCTTGGAGGAGAAGAGGAAAGCTTTCGTGAGAAGAGACTGGGATACTTCCGGTACAGGTCAGTGCAAATCATGTTCATTCATTCACATCAGCTGCTCTTGTTTAGTTATTACGATAGTCATGATAGTAAAATCCTTGCATTTAGCACCACCAAGTGGCGATCTGAAACTTTAATAAATATGTCTCAGGGATGCTCTGCGGAACTCAAACTGCAAAGAAAAAGAAGAAAAAAATGATGTACCTCACTTCAAAGAATGCAGGTGTGTATCACAACTGGTTCTATTTTTTTGTGAAAAGTTTGCAGTGTTAAGTTGTGCATATAAAACAATACAGTACTCACCCAACCTTTGTATTTCCCTGAACAGAATTTGACCGTTATGAGCTGCAGATCTATGAGGAAGTAACCAAGATGCCGCCGTTCCAGAGGAAAACACTGATTCTAATTGGAGCCCAGGGTGTTGGGAGGCGGAGTCTGAAGAATAGACTTATTGTCATGAACCCCCTGCGATATGGCACCACTGTACCCTGTGAGTTTGTGAGACAGACAGCTGAGGTAACTAGTAGATGTCCTGCACTAGTACATGTAACACCATTCCTCAATTTTTACCTCCAGTCACGTCACGCCGTCCGAGGGAAGAGGAGAGAGATGGCCAGAACTACTGCTTTGTGACGCGAGAGGAGATGGAGAAGGACATCAAGGAGAGCCGATATCTGGAGCACGGAGAGTATGATGGCAACCTTTATGGCACCAAGATTGACTCTATACATGAAGTGGTGCATGCAGGCCGTACCTGCATCCTGGACGTCAACCCTCAGGTTAGTCAAGGGAACACTGTATATGGATCTTTTTTTCCTGCCCTGAAGCGTTAGTTGTGACATTATGTTTTCTGCCCAGGCCCTGAAAGTGTTAAAGACTGCTGAATTTATGCCATTTGTGGTGTTTATTGCTGCTCCTGAACTGGACACACTTAGAGCTATGCACAAAGCTGTGATAGATGCTGGACTTACTACCAAACTACTCACGGTAAGTTTTCAGGATTGAAGCTTCCTAAATACTCATAAATGATGACGGACCTTTCAGTGGTCACTGGTTGTTTCTTCCGTCATCCTAATGGGCTGAATCTTTTTCTGCAACAGGAGAATGATTTGAAGAAGACTGTGGACGAGAGTGCCAGGATCCGCCGGGCATACAGCCACTACTTTGACCTGACTATTGTCAATGACAATTTGGACAAGGCCTTTGACAAGCTGCAGGAGGTGGTAGAGCGTTTATTCATAGAGCCGCAGTGGGTTCCAGTCAGCTGGGTCTACTGATGTTTTACCCCCTGTTGTAGAGACGTGGCTGTCCAAGCTGCTAGGCCTTGGATGAAAGGGGAGACCTGAAGGGATGGGGGATTCCACACTGTACTTCACACACGGACAAATTGTTGAACATCAGCCCGGTGTGAATTTGGATTTCGCACAAAGCTGCAGCAAAACTGAGTCACCTTGATCTGAATTGCCAGATTCCTTTCTAGCACACTATGCAACTCACAACACACAGGAAGTGTACTTATTTATTGGCTAAATGTTTTTTAAAGAATACTTTCATTCACGCGGATTGGAAGAAAATACTGGCCCTTGTGTCAGTATGTTTTAAAAGCAAATGCAATTTTTTTTGTCACGTATGTTTTTTAAATTTACATCAGTATGTAAGATAGGTTATTTATTCTGCAAAAATAAGGAGGGCTTGCTCATCGAAAAGAACGATACCTCAGTGTCACAGTTTACAGTGCATATGCCTCCAGTAATTCATCTCATTTAATTACTACTGTACAAACTTACAAACTCATTCATGGAGAACAGTGTCATATTTTTAAGACTTTGTCTATGTCTCCTCCTCAGGGCTTTATTTATGCCCTGGTGTCTTAGCGGTTCAAACTCATTAATGGGAAATGTCACTATTTGATGGAAAAGTGATACTGTAGTGTTGACCCATTAACTGTCTTTCATGCAAGCATAACAGATTACATTAATTATGTTGATTGTTTGTCAATCATTTGGATTATGAAAGTGTTTCTGACTGTTAGAGCCGTTGATATGGTGCTGTATCTGTGTTTGTTTGGAAGAAAGAAAAATAACTTTCCACAGGACTCTTGAACAGGGTACTGCATCTCAGTGAACCATCCCTTTTGATGTGATATTACTAAAGGATAACTGTTTTAAAGTTCATAGTGACTTATAAAAGTCCATATCGAGGTATAGGTATATTTTACAAGATTTCAGAAAAGTTGTATTTTCAGATGTCAAATAAATAACTTGTGTTTTCTAACGATCTGCTTTGGTTTTGCTTTGGACTTTAAACAGAATTACTAGACATACATTTTGCATTGAGATGACGTGTATGCTAATTGGTAGAGGAAAAAAATATTTACAACAATGTTAAGATCAGTCCGTTTTTCATTTTCACCACAGAGATAAACACACAAAAATGACAGGTAAAAAAAGTAGCTGATGAATTCTCAATATTGTTACTTTTGTTCTCTGACAGACTCACAACATAAAACGTAGAAGTAGTGCTCCACAATTAAAGGCACATTAAAACTAGAGATGTGTGCAATCAAACTGCATGAACATCAAATAGTCCAATGTGCTTAAGTGGATCAGAATGAGGTTGGTAGTTGGAACATTAAAAAAAAGCTTCTAACATCCATCTCTGGAGGACAATGCTGTGGTTAATTAATATGCACAATTTTCAAAATTGATTACTATTTGATCACCATACGCTTCAGAGGAAAATAAAGTAAGTTATTACAGACAACCTAAAGCCACAAAGAACAAAAAGTCCAAGATACCCCACAGCATGACATCAGTCTCTGCATAAAATAATTAGTATATATTTTGAAACTTAAGCGTTTTTTAAGTGTTCAGGACATTGCCAAATGTAGATGGAGTATTATTACATGAAAAATAATAAAAGTGATTTTTTCAGTTACTAGGCACATTCATCTGTCGTGGCATTACCCAAAATCACATATGAAGAACCAGGGGCCGGTCGTTGAACACTTCCGCTTTCATTTTCATTCAGACTAAAATCTGAACATTGTAGTATGTGTACTGATGCCACCACCAGATACCAAGTAAAAAATGTAAATTCTAGTTCTACACCGAAGAATGTGAATTTAGTTGTGACCATGTAATAGTATATTTTTAAGACTCCAGCTAATGGTTATTTTTATTATACCATGACCACTGAAAATTCTAGGCTTAGACTGGCTTGAAGGTGTAGATTAACTCCTAGTAACGCAACAACTTGCAAGGTATTATTCCTTACTTGAATTATCTCAAAGTTGATCATTTTACGATTGTTTTTTCTATAAAATCAGAAATCAGTGAAAGTTATCCCTCACAATTTCCAATAAACTTGAGGTACTCCAAATGCCTGTTTTGTCCAACAAACAGTCCAAACTCCAAGACCTAAACGATTGTCAAAGTTGTTCACAATTCGTACTGGATCAACAATTGTCTGGCAATTAATATATTAAATTGTTTTACCCAACAGTAGACAGCAATGGTGTTTTAAAAGAAATTCTACTGCACCAAAACAAATAAAAAACAATGATAAATTACACTTGACATACCGTATGATATTCCCTTTACCTCACTCTAGTGTAGTAATTAAAGTTTCTGGTGGATTTAAAGTTTAAACACATTGAGCCAATGAGGCAAGACCTCTAATAGCGATACACAGGATCAGAGGACGGTTTCCTGGCTGGTGGTTTATTTCCATCTTCACCGTGTCCCCATCTCTCTTCAGGGACATGTTAGAGGAGGCAAACAGATATTCAGTCTTTTCATAGACGTCTTCTGTCAGTGCAGCTAAGCCTGCACTGCTCAGAGGAAATTCTCCCTTCTCAGATACACACTGCACCTGGAACAGGTGTGACAGGAAGATAAAAGGCAGCTAAATCAATGTGATGCATAATTTGAAAAAATAACTCACATGATGTGTTTTTGTGTTGTATTCTTCTTTGTAAAAACTGATTTTTACTAACCAGTTGCTCCAGAACCTGTAACACTGTGAGGCTGCAGCACATTCCCAAGACAGCAAGACAATCATATGTCATCTCTTAAAGACAAAGACCCAGAGAATGAAAGCGGAACAGAAAGGAAAAGATGTTTTCAGGACAATCTGCATGCAGTGGCAACTCCACATACTTCTACTCATAATCTTGATGGAGGGGTTTCCCCCCCACAGATTGAGGACACCAAGCAATATTTCATTTTTAATGGGCTAAGTAATAAAGGCTGCATAGAGCACAGCTTTCTCACCATCCAAGGCGCTGGTAATGAGGTGAAGGGCTATGAGGACTTCTGTGGACTGGTCTGCCTGAGCTGACTCTGCCTGACCAGACAGCTCCAAAAGGTCCAGAATTGCTTGAATGTTTTGTTTTTGAGAGTGTGTCGTTGTAACATCACCCAGGGCAGGTCTCTTTCCTAGGAGCATTTGGTCTAGCTGAGGAAGGGAAAGACACCCAGATATAAAAGCCAATTTAACAAAAGTTCCTAATGCTAACTCCACATTACAAAAGTGTCTCTGTGACATGACCTCTTTTACCACATTCTGAAGTGAACTGATGGACCCTCTGTCCTCCATAACTTTTGTAATTTGCTGGAGCAGAGAGGACCTTGTGGTAACAGGAAGAGCTGAAAGGTGCTGGAAATGATCATTCAGCTGCTCCAGCTCTGCCAATAGAGAATATACAAAATGGACCCACTTTCTCATTCACCTTCACAATGTGTGCAAGCAGCAGGGCATTAAAACTAAGACTGAACCAGGGAAAAAATGATAGAAAACAGAAAAGTAAAATATACAGTACAATATGAACTAACCACATGGATGTTTGGTTTAAAGAGACCTTATAATATAGGTCAAAGCACATGTTAACAGTTATCACACCCTTCTGATAAGACAGCACTGGGCCTCCAATGTCAAGAGGCCCTTTATGACTCGAAAACAACATGCATTCCTGAACACATCATCAGCTGCAACAACCATTTACAATCACTTGCTTTAAGGCTGCAGAAAGAAAAAGCTGAGAAGAAAACAGTAATTTACCTTCTCTAAGGCGGCAGTTTTCAGAGGCACACGCCGGATCTCTACCATCTACTTCGAAACCTCCAGAGGTGTCTGACATCAGACACAGCTCTGTGAAAAATACATTTCAAATACCCAGACATGAAATGTATCTGCAGTAAGAGTTTAAGCGGTTGTTATTCTCTGCAAAAGACCAGTTAATGTATGAATTTAGTGAATGATTTCTCACCGTAGCGTCCGTCATGTTTGATCTCTAGCTCTAACAGGGAATAGGCAATGGTAGCATGGATGGGAATCTCCATGGTAACGTTACTGTCTTTACTCAAACGCCCATTCTCCTTCAATGAAACCTGCAGCAGACACGTGAGACCAAACACGCAAATTTCAACAAAACTCTGCATGGAAATATCCACTTTAAAAGAATTTATTACCACTGAATAACAGTTGTCGGTGATGCATGGTACATTTGTAGACTCACTTCCTGGTGTATCTAGTTCCAAATGATGTGGAAATGAGTATGTGGCCACAGTGACATTTAAAGAAACCTTTAAATCTATCTCGGACATGAGCAGTGAATGCCCAGTTTTGGTTTCATTCACTCTGAATCAAAGACTGAACATTTTGCAACAACAATTGAAAATTACACAGAGAGGACTAAAATTATGGAAGAGGAAGCAAAGTGTCCAAAACTACGCGGCGTGAGCAGTTTGAAAGAAGTTTTAATATAAAATGGAACTAATTTCAGTTCTCCTTCCTTCTCAAGCAGAACTGAAACTCATTCTGGGCAAAGAAGGGTATATACCATTAACTGAGGAAGAAATAGTAAAACATGTGAAAGTAGGCACAACAAATAACATTTCATCGTTAATACGTGAAAGAATAAAAAAAAAAAAAAAAAAAAAAAAAGACAACTTACACTATAATAATAAATGAGTTTTTCAGTGCTAATACTTTACCTTTGGGTTCTTGGGGCCACATAAGATCAGTCCTCCTCCACACTGTCCGTCCTGCTGCACTTCCTCTATGACTGAACAGGGCTGATTAGTCACAATACGCTCCTTCACAATCCCAAACACCTGTCTGTGCTTCTCCTTTGTCTGCTGGACCAGACCATGGGACATGTCCAGAATTCTGAGACATTGAGATCCCCAAAACACCAGCGTTACGTTTCACAGGGAAAATTCTTGGAAATGTGAAATGTATACATACAAGAAGTATTGTCTTAAACTGATTTGAATTTTAAATTGAGTATGCATAAATAAATAAAAAATCATCCTGAACCAAAACAAGCTATTGTGTTTTCAACCGGGCCTCCTGCTTTGTGTGCAACTTTATGGTTGGACAAAGATCACACCTGCTGTTTTCAGACCTTTAACAGACGAGTGTCAGTGTTCTTCCATTTTAACTCTATTCAAACAAACCATCAGACAGGGCAGTGGAAACAGGTGGGTAACTAACCTGTCCGTGGAGTCTCGCAGCAGCTTCTGCACATCCACTTCCTCTTTACTCAAACTGCCAAAGGATGACTGGAGTTTAGAAGACTCTTTACCCTCCAGGGTTATGTTTGAGTGGACAAAATTTGCATTCACAGTTTCCTGAATGTTGCCACCGTAGGTCCCATTGTATTTGATGAAGTCTGTCGTTGTGACACCTGTGGACAATGAGACATTAAGGTTTTGTGATCTCAAAATAAATCAATACAACTCATTATAATAAAAGGTATTTAACAAATAAGATTATATACAGATATAGATGTTGATGATTACTTGGTTTTATAGGTTTGTCTCCTGCGAGTATATCATTAAAGTTAAAATCAGTGGGAAGATACTTGGGCTTCTGCCAAAACCAGAAACGCTTGTGCTTCACCACCACTGTCAGGAGAGCAATGGTGTCATTCAGGCTGGACGCTGGGATCAGCAAACCCCCGTTATCCACCTCCTCCACGAAGTTTTTGGTTGCTGTGGCAAACATGTCCCAGCTGGATAAAACCTATGAGGGTGATAGTAAAGCCAAGAGTGAAGACTTCTTGACTTATCAGTCTGGAGAAAAGTACCACCCATGTGAGCTCGTCAGTAACGTAACGTAAGATTGATCATTCCTCCCTTTCTTTAAAAAAATTAAATAAATAAATAAATAAATAAATAAATAAATAAATAAATAAATGGTCCACATAAAACTGCTGCAATTCATTCTTTCTGACGTGTACTGCACTTTTACAGCATATCAAGTAAAGAAAAAGAAATATACGTGAAAGAAATAGCACCTTGCATACATGTCTTGTTAAAACTTAGCTAACGTTACACTGACGTTCACCTGCCTGCAAAGCAAAACTTTTCCGCGTACTCGATGTCCGTATTTTAATGGTGACCCTGACGGGAAACGTTCTTTGCGGTCAGACTCTCAGAGCAGACGACGCTTCCCCATCGTCAGCCTCGGCTCTTCGTGAAACACCCTCTGATTTTAACAAAAGACCATAGTAAAAGACGCACAGACGCTCCGCCTCCTGTACACAGGAAGCTGTGGGTGTGTTACTAGAGATAACGTCAAAGGTCAAAACCTCAAAACCGAAACACCTCTATAAAAATAATAAAAAAATAAAATAAAATATAATAATAATAATAATGTTATCATTATAGTAATAATTAATTTCATGTGTATTTTGTATTCGCGTTTATTTTCTTATTTCTCCAGCACTTTGTGTTGGCCTCAACGTCTAAGCATTGGTTAGAAGTTGCAGAATAAAGACATTATTTACAGATATAGTTATAGATGTTGTTACATAGTTTTACAGTACACAAATTTCTTTCTTTTCCTAAAGGACATATTAAGTAAGGTTAAGGTTAAATAGTACACTATTCTGGACTCATTTGAAGCAAAAATGATCAGTGCACCACATTAATTATGTTTTTGTGTTTTTTTACTCAGATGCATCACCCACCATTGGTTTATATATTGAAGATAAGAAGACGGTGACAGGAAACTGTAACATATCTTATCCAGATGATTTACAACAGCACGACCAAGTTCCTCGATGTATTTGTACTGCCTATGCTGTGATGGCTATTTGTTGCCACCTAGCGTTTCAGGGCTCCATGGACGTTCGTTACAGTAAAGCAAAACGTGGAGTTGTATGGACAAGAAGTTTGATGAATGTTCAAGATGACTTGAGGCAGTAAACAGTTAACATCTGAATGACTCAGCCACAATAAGAACTGTATATTATGAGTTGTACATGGTATCTATGTCAAGGTTCCAATTTGGAAAACACAATCTGAGGGCAACCCATGAGATTATCATTACAACCCTAAGTAAAAAAAATCATTGAGTGATATTTCACCCTTGCCCCACACACAGTGATGGATCTATGTTATTGAGACTCACCTTGTTACATAAGATAATATGAACAGTTGAGTAACAAGCAAGGCACAGGCAAGGGCTCTTTCAAGATAATAATGGTCCCACACACACTGAACTTTGCACGTGTTTGTCCAAATGGCTTTCATAACCTCACAAGGTAAAAGAGCATACATACAACATAATTGAACTGTCATGGGGTATTCCTTTTGCACACAATATGATTGAGAAGACTGAGAAGAAGAATGGAGCTGATCTGACGACACAAAATGGACTTCCTCTTCTGTGGACACATAAGCTCTGAAACTGATGAGTCAGATGTTTTCTCTTTGCCTGTTGGTATTTTTAACCAGCATGTATGATGGAAATGATGATAATGGTCTAGTTCATTGCTTTCAGTGTTCTTAACAAACAGACACAAATGACTCCACACAAATAAAGCATCAGAGATTTTATTTGAGCTCACGGAGCATAGTTTTGGACACTTTTGGTCCCAAAGCCCAGGGTCGGGTTAGACAACGGTGCAATAGATAGATTGAAAAATGACTGGACTGGATATTTGCTACTGATGCTCATAGTTGCACAATCATTGACCCAGTTATAGCAAAAAGCAGTAATTACCTTTATGAGACAGAGAGAAAAGCTGAGTAAGGATATAAAGATCTTTTAAACAAGCATTGTTTGGTCTTAATAATTCCTTACAGTTAAAAAAAAAGATCTCAGAGATGCAACAAAAATAAATTAAACAATATGAGTACAACGAGTAAGGCATCAGGCAGGTGCAGAATAAACATCATATGTGTACACTTAATCAATGGCATATCAAAGCTAGTTTATCTCAGAGGTAGAGAATGTCCGTGATAAGACGACAGCTGAAGTGACCAGTTGTTCAGTACATTTTAAGCTAGTGTTGACCAGTTATGATAAGGATTTATCCTCCTTTATACCAAGTAGTTTTGCTTTTCTCAGTGGTACAGTGTAACATATCAGGTGAAAATGTGGGCAATATTTGCCAAAAAGTATCAACATTCTTATCATATGTTTGCATAAACATGTTTACACAACTTAAGCACTTGCTATTAAGGCAATAACTTTGATGAACTGCAATGACCAGCACTAAATGTGTATGGTAAGGCTAGGATACAAACATCATCAGAACCAGCCTGGATCACAGTAGAAGTTGTGCAGGGCGACATGTGTGAGATCTGCAGTTCACGGGTCACCACAGCGTAAGAAAATCTACGTGGGTAAAGCCAGGGTCCTTCCTTAGATCCCAGTATGTGTTGTTGCTCACCCAGGTATCATCCTTTAACTTCCTGTGGAGGCAGAATGAAAGCAAGAATAGTAAATAGTGAATACTGTGAAAGGTAGTTGAGTAAATTGACACTGAAAATTATGACACAGGCTGCTGTTACAGTGACAAGCAGCAAATAACATGACATGCTCGCTTTCCCATAAATGACTTAGTAAAAAACTAACAAATCTGGATATTTAGGCTACCTGAAGAATTTAGGTTGATGTGTTACGTTGCTCTCCTCCAGGACTCTCCGTCTCTCCCTCTGCAGCTGTTCAATCCTCTGTTTGTGCTCCTCTGCAGCCTCCAAGTTTCCCTCCTCCAGCAGTCTGCCAGGGTGACAGACTCATTCATTATGCAGACATGGTAAAACATTCATCTTCAATACTCATGTTTAATCTTCCCTAGTGTTTTTCGTTTAGCATCATTACAGTAAGATAACATAATTAAGGATAAAAAGGAAAACACATAACTCAGGATATTAAAGGACTAGCAGCAGGGTCATTTTTTTTACTTTGATGGCAAAGTGGAGAGTGCTTCTTCTTTCTGTGGCGTCTTGTGGTAGCAGTGAAGAGTTTACAGACTTAAACTTTAAAATGTGAGCTAAAATTAGTTTAATGAGTCTGAAAGCCTCCACAGTTACTTACTATTCTTAACATGAATAGTGATGCACCTATTTTTGTGCTATTTTGATCAGAGGGTTGGGTGAGCATTTTTCAAGATAACTTGTCAAGTGGGCATGAGATGCATGATGTCAGATTATAAAAAGGTGTGTTGCTCAGATATTCACTGGCATGTGATGGTTTTCACATCAGATGTCTTAACTGTTTTAACCAGGATTGTGTATCTTTAATCCCAATGAAACAATTGTGTTTCCCTTTTATGTGAGAAATCAGGTTATTGTAAGGTATCAGTCCTTAAGTGCATGTGAATACATTGATACATTTTTTTCCTCTTACCTTTGATCCACACGTAGTCTGGTGTCTGTGGGTGGTAGCAGCAGTTTCAGGGAGGGGTCCAGCTCGTTCAGTTCAATAGCAAACTTGGTGAAACCATAGTACTGCTCATGGTCTACTGGCATTGCATCTACATTGCACACATATAATATCCACTGTATCAGATACTGTAATATGAAGATGTGCATTGTAAAAAGGCTGTCAGTGCATTCTCGTGAAAGAAACTTGGCATACTTGCTCTCCAGATGCATGTGGCTGAGGGCGGGTCTCCACAGAATACTGCTTCGTGCCACTTTCCAAAGAGTTTGTGGATGACCTTCCCTTTCTTATCCATGATAGTTCCCTCCACCTCATTCACACTTGAATTCCAGTATTTGGCCTGTGAAAAGAATTGACAGTTGTAAAAGAATATAATGTTCAACAATAGGTCTCCTTGGCTCATGGAGAGGAGTATGTGATTAGAAGTGACTATGCAGCAATCATGATATTGTCCTCTTGCTGTCAGCAGGTGCTGCTGTTGGGTAAACCATCTTGAATAATCCTGTGTGTGTTGCTGGGCTGGTGTGTTTAACAAGAGATGAGGATGCATAATGACTTCTGACATGACTTGACTTGATATCCTGCACAGCTTCAGGAGGTCTTTCAAACGGGCACATGCTAAAGCAATTAACCTTCTCCTCTCAGTGAAGGCTTCCATAAATCAAACATCGAAAACATCGAGGGGTTCTTGCTGGCATTGCAGGTGAGGAGAACCATCTGTGTAGAGTTTTTATGGTTACTATGGCTGCGGGTGGCTTATATACATGGAAAATGCCTTTTCACTGCTTGGAGGTTATGTTGATCAAACCCCCAGGGTTCATAGAGGGGAGTCTACCAACGGAAACATAAGTTGAATGAGAGACAGGAAAGTAAGAGATCACTACAGTATGAAGAATGGATATTGTGGCGTATGAATCACTGTATTTAATGTAATAGATACACATGTCTGGAAGTGGTATGCGGGTGTGGCATCTCTCCCTAAGGCTGAATGCTTCTGCTGTTATTGGCCTACTTGGGATTCCATATGTTTTCTCTAACATGTTTCCAGTGTGTGATCTAGCAAAGCTATTTTCAGTGCAAAGCGTCTCTTCATCCCAACCATTGCTCTGTAGCCCAAAGTGAATGTAAACACAGCTACTTTGGGTATATAATGAATGCAAGACACTACCTGATATTTACATTATAAATTATACTATGACAAGCAACATTGAACTACAAATCAGTTCAAGGCATCTTCTTCAGGTACACTTTAAATAGACATCACATTACATTTATTTAGCTGACGTTTTTTTCCCCAAAAGCGGCTCAAAATAAGTGGATTCAACCATGTGGGATGCAACGCTAAAAATGCAAGAATCACGTTCAGGTTCAGCAAATATGCTGAACTACTTTAAATGCTACATCTAAAAACAATAAGATACAGATAGTTGGGAACAACAAGGTTTCTGTATGGGCCAAGGTGTATATTCAAGTTACTGTCATTCAGACTATACACAGGGCAAGTGCAAAGTAGATTTGCATCTAGCTCACAAAGGAATGGAAAAATACTATCTAGAGTTAATATGATCCTCAATATTGCCTCACCTTAACAAAAGTGATCTTGCACTGACAAATATCATTGCTGGTGTTTCGGATGGTGATCTCGCCATAGTGCTCAATCCAGCGCTGTCCGCTGAGAATGTTGTGGATGCAGGACGTCACCTTGTTCCACTCGTAGTGGTCTCCAAATCTATAAAAAAAGGTAAGTGAAACCAACATTCGTTTTAACTTTTAACTTGACACCTGCAGATATTGCTTCTTAATTGACATGGCCATTGGTTTGTACAGTC